TTAGTCAGTCGAACCCAAGACTTATATACAAAAGTAGTCCAATGCTTTCGCCAACATAACAAAACTATGAACAAAGGACAAAGGCGAAAACAGTCTCGTGCGTGAGACGTTTGGGCCGACTTCTCAAAACCTTGACTGTTTCTCATAATTTCATCGAGGCTGGTTCTAGACGTCCCTTGGCTCACCTACATGTACATGAATGAGCGTGAGCGAAAGCCCTGTGAATAATATCGAATAAGGAAGATACATAAGCAATCTTAGAAACAGTTACAGCAGACGGCCTTTGGCCCAATCACTTGTATCAATCAGCCTTCGGTCCAATCATTTATGTCAATCGGCCTTCGGCCCAATCATTCATGTCAATCGGCCTTCGGCCCAATCATCAATGTCAATCGGCCTTTGGCCCAATCATTTATGTCAATCGGCCTTTAGCCCAATCATTTATGTCAATCGGCCTTCGGCCCAATCATTTATGTCAATCAGCCTTTGGCCCAATCATTTATATCAATCGACCTTCGGCCCAATCATTTATATCTATCGGCCCTCGGCCTAATCATTTATATCAATCGTCCTTCGGCCCAATCATTCATGTCATTCGTTGTCCACTATTCAAATTAATGAACTTACAAAACTTACATAGAAGTAAACAATTGGACAATAACATATCTCAAATATCTTGTTAAGACATTACTCACAGTGATCAGTTGGTTAGTTCACCCTGGAGCTCGACCCTATACATTCCATGAACACAAAAGGGTCATAAACAATTCAATCCATTCTAAATTCACATTTTCCTCATAAGGCTTCATTCTTATCTCTTTAACTCAATTACAATACTCAATGTATGCCTAAGAGTACTTCGAAGTGAAAGAGAACAGAAAACAAAACATAGAATGTCTTTTCAAAATTTCAGAAAACAGGGTCCCCGCTCGAGCGGACCCGTGAGGTCTACAAAAGTACTGGTTACATCAATTTCACGCTCGAGCGCGAACTCGTCTGCTCGAGCTGAAGATCTATCTACATAGCTCCCCGCTCGAGCGTGAACTTCCCCGCTCGAGCGGAAGCCATGTCTGCAAATATGATAGGAGCTTGTATTTCACGCTCGAGCGGCGGTTTCCCCGCTCGAGCGGACATCTAGAATTCTGGGTTTTCCAGAATTTGTTCTTGAGCTCAATTCGACCTCCAAAGGTTCCAAACTCATAATTTTACAACATGGTATTAACATGGTACAAACACCAAATTACAACACAATCGAGCTCAATTTCACAAATTAATCACATGCATGTTCCAATCTACACCAAGTTCACTTTCAACATAACAATTTCATACATTCAAGCTCATACCTCTTATGAATGGTACATGCATGTGGGATATGGCTTCCATTTCAACTCAAATTACACAAATGGTGGTAACAAGCATGGATTCTAGCCACAATTTTCAATGGATCATATTTTTCATGCTCAATTATGCAAATTCATGGTTTTTATGCACATGCAAGCATTCTATGACTTCAAATACAACAAAATCAACCCAATTTCCTTATGATCAAACTAACTCATGGTCTTGACCATTAATCAAACTTGAATTCACAATTTACAACATTAAACTCATGAATTCACTTACCTAGAGGCTTAATTCTTCCAATCTATGGTCAAATCTAGAGTTAGACTTCAAATTTCCAAGCCTTCAAGATCAAACTTTGATTCTCCTACACTCTCTCTCTCTCTAGTTCGATTCTCTCTTTTTCTTCTTAGAGTTGAAACCAGCCAAATGATATAAAAGGAGAAATCAATTATAATAAGGCCCTTTACATGTGCTCTCATAGGCACAATTGATTTGAATTAAATAATTGAGCACTAAAGCACCAATTTAATCTATTTATTTTGATCCAAATCAATTTCCAATTAAATTTCACTGTAGGTTCTAAAAATTACGCTAATCACAAAGGCGCAATCGATTTCAGTTTCTGTGGCTGATAGGGCCTTCAATTTAATTTTCAAAGCAGATGATAGTCAAACAAATATTCCTACGGTGAACAGATAGAAATTCAAAACCACATATTTTCACATAATGGCACACAAAATCACATTAAACACATAATCATATTCATATTAAGGACCAATTAGCACGAAACGGAACAGGGTTATCACAGTCTTCCCCTATTTAGGAAGTTTGGTCCCTCAAACTTATTTTACCTTCGTCGGGAAACAAATGTGGATAGCGTAATCGCATTTCCTCCTCTTTTTCCCATGTAGCATCCGTCCCATAGTGTTCTTTCCATTCCACTTTCACCATTGGGATGGACTTGCTTCTCAACTGTTTCACTTGCTGGTCGATGATTCGCTCCGGCCTTTCGGCGTACTCCATATTTTCATCAATAGCTACCCGGTGATAATTAATCACATGAAACGGGTCTCGGAGGTAATCCCTCAACATCGACACATGAAACACATTATGGATTTGTTCGAATCCCGGTGGCAAAGCAACTCTATAAGCAACTGGACCAAGCCTTTCCAGAATCTGAAACGGCCCAATGTAACGGGGCGACAACTTGCCCTTCTTTCCAAACCTGACTTGGCCTTTCATTGGGGACACACGAATAAACACGTGGTCACCGACCTCATACTCAAGAGGTCTTCTTCGAACGTCTGCGTAGTTCTTTTGTTGTTCCTGAGCTGTTTTGAGCCGTTGCCGAATAGTTTTGATTTTCTCAGAAGTATCTTGCACAATTTTAGGCCCAAGTAAAACTCTATCCCCGACCTCTGTCCAACAAATTGGTGATCTACACCGCCTACCATACAAAGCCTCGTATGGTGCCATACCGATGCTGGAGTGGAAGCTATTATTGTATGCAAATTCTACAAGTGGCAAATAGTCTTCCCAACTCCCCTGAAAATCTAAAGCACACATTCGAAGCATATCTTCCAAAGTCTGTATTGTTCGTTCTGATTGCCCATCTGTCTATGGGTGGAATGCAGTACTGAGCCTTAGTTCTGTCCCCATAGCTTCCTGTAAACTTTTCCACAATCTAGATACAAATTTCAGATCTCTATCCGACACAATAGATATTGAAACTCCGTGTAAACGGACAATCTCATCAACATATATGGCAGCTAGTCTATAAGCATTAAACGTAGTTCGAATAGATAGAAAATGCGCAGATTTAGTCAGTCTGTCAACTACAACCCAAATAGAATCCATACCTCGAGGAGTCTGAGATAAGCCAACAACGAAATCCATAGTCACATGTTCCGACTTCCATTCAAGAATAGGGAGAGGTTGCAGTAGACCGCCTAATTTCTGATGTTCAGCTTTAACTTGCTGACACTAAAGACATTTGGACACATATTCTGCAATCTCGTTCTTCATTTTAGGCCACCAATAGGTTTGTTTCAAATCCCGATACATTTTATTATTGCCCGGATGTATAGCAAACACTAATTTGTGGGCTTCATCTAAAATCCTCTTTTTCAGTTCCGGTACATCTGGGACACACGTTCTGTTTCAAAATTTCAACACTTCATTTTCAATACTGAACTCTACCTTCGGACTTGCCTCAAATTCATTAATCACCTTCTTGAGGAATTCATCCTCTTTATGTTGTGTATTTTTATTAACTTTGACTGAAATATTTATATATATAACATATGATAAATATAAAAAAAATATATTTTACTCATGTCCCCGCGTAATGTCCTGCATTTTTTTTGAAAACTGTTGTATCGGTGTCCATGTCCATGCTTACTAGATTATAGGGTTTTTGGTAGAGGACAAAGTGAAGATTTGAATAGATAAGAAGATCATATCTTCTACTTTTTATGTATTTATTTGATGATCCTAACACAAGACATGTTTTAAAAGTAAGCTAACATCAATTACTAATAAATTAATTAAGTAATTGGCATAAGGAAAAAGGTTCCAGTCACTTCATAAAGTCTTCTTCTTAACAATGATCCAGCTATTATTTGCTTGATACTAGCAAAACAATTAAAATACATTATTAAAACAAAATTATCATAAAGGAGTTTGGATCAAACTGTGATGTCCATGGGTTGCACACACTTGCTCTTTGATAGGAACAAGGAAACAAAGTATTGCTTGGATGATTGGAGGCAACAGGTTAAGAAGGTGAAACGTCAAGTAGTCAGCACTAGCAGGTTACACACAACCAACTTGTGTATTCAAACTGGTATGACAGATTTCTTTAAATGAAAAAATAAAATAAAAATCCATAATCTGTAGTTCATTAGGTAAAGCTTACCTGCAAAGCCTTTGCCAATATGATACTGAACCCAAACAAGCTTCTCATCAGGAGGAACTTTTTCCCCAATATACTTCTGTACATGAAAAAGCAGGGAAATACCCATCACTATGCTAAAAAAAATGTTGTGATAGCATTATATGAATTTTAGCAATGAAACAAAAATTTTAAAGCAGAACAGGATGAAAACAGAATAGAACGGGATGAGTTTAAGTAATCAAAACAGAACAGGATGAAAAAAAAAACAAAAAAAAATTGTGAAAGTAGAAGGAATGAATGAATAATTCTGTTAACCTAAAGTTTTATTACTTTAACATGGTATTCCCTTAAAGCCGGATAAAGCACTTCAACTAGAGCAAGGGTGTTCAGATATGCGTGGTCATTAATCCTTTCATTTTATTTTCATATTTCAGACTTCGTGATCTTAAACAACTCGGTGAGTTCATCACCTCTCTTTTGCATTAGAACCTATATTATTAAGAATAGTTTTCAGATTAATCAAAGTTCAAAATATATATTTGATTTTTCTTTTGAATAGTATCTTGTACATTGTGTATTTCACATGAAGTATGAAGAATTTAGCCAGAACTTTGAATTTATGAATGTGTTTAGGAGCTCTCAGTGGAATAGATTATGAGCCAAATAGGTTTCAGAGTATATACTCAAAGATAATTTATTACAGATGGTTCAGTATATAATATAGGAAGCATAATCTGGTTCTGTGACAACATATGCATGAAACGAAGATGGATTACGGATTTTGGTTGTCTTGTGTGGTGGAGTTATAGCAATTTTCAAGTTCTAACATGAAATGAATTGAAATAAATCTAAGTGGAAGATCAATGTACTAGTTTCTGTCTGTGTGTCTGCTTGTGTGCATGCCTTTGGCTACTTGTTGATTATTATTTTTATTAAATCTGGTTTGTATCTTAGGAATATGATCAATACACTAGTTTGTGCATTGCAGAAAAGCGATGTGCTTCTGGATGGCTTTTGTAGCACTTCTTATTTTATCAGTACAAAGACCATGAGTGCATTACTGCATTCTAGGTTTGAAGTACCCAAAAGATCACCAATTGTTGGACAGTGTTAAATGTGTTTTTGAAACTAGCTTTTCTGTATTTTCAGGGATGGCACACATGGTTTATCCAGGGGCTGTGCATTCTAGGTTTGAACATTCTCTTGGAGTGTATTGGCTTGCTGGTGAGGCTGCTCACAAGCTTAAAACTCACCAAGTATGGAATCTGCATACTCTGCTAATTTAATTGCACAACTTAAATTCTTGGGGATTTTATATTTTACATTTTTTCCATTTTTGCAGCGGATGGAGCTTGGTATTGACCACTTTGATATACAAACAGTGAAACTTGCAGGTAACCAACTTTATATTCCACACGGTGCTTCATTTTTTGTTTGTTTGTTTTGTTTTTGAGTTATCTGATGTTTTATTAAGCTATTTCTTCAATTCCAGGACTCTTGCATGATATAGGCCATGGGCCTTTCAGTCACTTGTTTGAACGCGAGTTTCTTCCTCAGATTTCTACCCTTATTATGATTTATATAAAGAGAGGCTATTAGCATTTGAAGCAACTAACATGCGTACATGCTGGTTAGCCCAATTCAACCAAATTTGCTAAAAAAGGAGTGGGCTTGTGAAGAGAACATTTGAGCTTATGATGTGTATATGACTCTTTAGGCATGTCATTGACCAATACCAAGATAGTAATCACCTCCATATAATTGACAAGACCTTCATCAAGCAATATAGCAACCCAACATTTGTAGGATATTTTAATTAAATTTTCCTGGTTTAAACACCTTCAACTGTGAGAGTAATAAGATGCATATAGTACAACTCCATAACAATATAATGTTAACTCTGTTGTCACATAAGGAATTTTAAGCCAACTAGCGTTTCTTCACCAGGCCTGAATTTTCTAGCTTATTCCTCATAAAAATTGATTTGTTACTATATTCGGTTTGAATAAAGTTTGCTAAAATTAGTTGTAACTATATTTGGTTTAAATAAAGTGTGCTAATTTTAGTGTGAACTCGTAGAAAATATGACAACATAAAAATTATGCAAGCAATGAAATTCTAGCCTTTCCAGAGCCTCACATGGATGCTTAGGTTCAAACACATTGAATCAAATAAATATGATACTGGTGAATGGAAAAGAGCTACAAGATGTTGTAAATAATAAACAACTCATATCAATTGATCAAGAAAATAAGAGATTACATGCATTATACCTGGTAGTTGATGCCTCTTCTTTGAAGATCACGAGGCAACAATGGATGTTGAGGATACTTCTCTTCCAAATACTGCAAATTACTAAGCACATGTTAGAAACATTGAAAATTTTTAATAAAATCAAATCCAATGGGGTGAAGACAATAAAGGTCCAACCACTCACCATTAAGATTGCAAAAGAGTCAGAAAGCACAATGTCCTCATCCACCAACACCGGCACATAACCAATAGGTTCCATTGCATTCCATCAGCCACATCAGCATTGAACTGCACCACAATCTCCCTGAAACAAGAGATTGTGAACTTGTAACAAAGCATGCAAATGGGACAAATTCATCTCAATTGAAATTTTATATCAAGATCTTCTCAGAAAATGTACCAAATGGTCACATAGGGACTTCAATTAACAATTAAGAAGTACAATAAATATGCATAGTCCTAAAATTAGTTGCTTCACATTTTATTTCTTGATTTAAATGAAGTGTCAGGAAGAATGAAACTATGCTATGTTACAAATGGAAGCAGATATGGGGGTTCATCTAATCAATGTATCGGTTCTTTTATACTATAGAACTTGATCAGTGTTGTTGTAAAACTTCATTGATATCGTTTAATAACAAAAGAAAAGAAATTAATTAAACATGCATACGCATAAAACTTCATTGATATCGTTTAAACATGCATACGCATAAATAAAGAAATTAATTTTTTTAACCATTTCCACATTACACATAGACACAGTAGTCAAGCCATTAACTAAACAGACCCATTAATTAAACTTCCATCAAAACCCAAACCCAAACCCACTTTCACTGCAATATCAGCATGAAAACTTCTTCTCCTTCTTACTTCACCAAACTTCCAAATCCTAACCATATTTCAAGACTCCACATTTTTCAAATCCTTTGACTGCATTCAAATCCAATTTCACATTTTTCATTCGAATTCTTCTCTGAAACCGACTCTCGAAACTCTAACTCTTCTTTTTCTTCATTTTCTTGTTTGGTGGTGACTTTGTCTACTTCATTTTCGGTCTGTTTCTTTTCTTCGGTCGTCAATGGAGATTTGAGTGCTGGATTTGAGATTTGACTCATTTGAGTTTAGAACAAGAGGAGTGATTTGAGTTTGGAACTTGTGAGCATGTAAGCCTCTGTTATGTTTATATTATATGATAAAATCACCTCATTTTTTGGTCTAACACTAGACTCATTTCTATCTCCACAACGTGGGAGCTTCAAACCCCTTGGATTGCTTCTCCACGATGCGTCAGGATCCTCTAGATTAAAACTCTAGAGTGATCTCTCAGAATGAGGAGATCCAATGGCTAAAAATAAAACTAATCAAAACGACGTCGTTTTGGTTAATAAGTTGAAAAAAAAAAATTGATTTCAAAATGAACAGAGTGCGAGAGAGAGAGAGAGAGAGGCCGCTCCTTTCTGCATCCTATCGCCCCACCGACGCCTTTAATCTCCGCAATCTCAGAACAATACAGCATGAAAATTACCTAATCAACAATACCCACAACGATCAATACAAATGTTGAAAGGATTCAATGGGAAGACACCCAGTAAAATAAAATAAAACAAAAACCAAATCCAAACTACTTTCTAGTCTAACTCACATCAAATCAAGAAAACAAAAACTTTTTCTAATAATGGATGTCAACAAAGACTGAAAAAGATCAAGAACTTACTAGAAATAATGAAATCTGAACATGGGGTTCTCATCATCATCATCAGCTGTGATTGCAAATCCCCCATCCGCTATTCTTCACCCCATTTTGTCTCTCTAACCCAAACACTCTCTCCTCTCTCTCTCTCTCTCTCTCTCTCTCTCTCTGTATCTCAATGGGTTCCTAGCATTTTATTCGACAAGTTGTTATTGTGTCAGGGCGTCGGCGACGGCGAGATGACAGGATGCATAGAGGAGTGGCCTCTCTCTCTCTCTCTCTCTCTCTTCTTTTCTCTCTCGCACTCTGTTTATTTTGAAATAATTTTTTTTTCAACTTACTAACAAAAATGATGTCATTTTGGTTAATTTTGGTTAGTTTTATTTTCAACCGTTGGATCTCTTCACTCTAGGAGATCACTCTAGGGTTTTACTCTAGAAGATCCTGAAGCCTCCACGATGTGTTGCAATCCTGTTGAAATTACTAGACAGTGTCGGATGGGAGGACTACTAAAGAGAAGGTGAATTCGAGTAGGATATACACTACCCAATGCACAGCTCCATTGACAAAAGCTTTAGACCAGAAAAAACTCAACCATGTTATGCCTAATGGAAGCATTCACAGTCTTTCATTTCCCAATACTGAGAGCATAAACCTCTGCTTTAGGAGGAACCAAGTAATTCTCTCTCCCAGTCCCAGACAAATACATAATCCTTACAACCTTGGGGTCATTAGTCTAAGGATCGACATCGAACCCAAGAGCTAACATGTAAGGACCATAGTGATCGAAACATAACTTTCGTTTGGAACGGTCAGAGACTTGCGAATCACAGGGTTCTAGAGAATGATAGTGTAAGTGTAGCTGAAGCAATCGTCGGAGAGATAAATCAAGCCGTGAAAGCTACCGACGACTCTGAAATGGTACTTCGAGCGAGGCTTGAAAGGGCAATGGAGGTCGATGAGCTCGGTGAATGGTTCGTTGTCGAGACGGAGAGAGTAGTTCCTCCACAATGATTTGGGCACCACCATATCACTAGGGGTGTAATTTTGGCCCGGCCTGGCCCATCCAGGCTCGGGCCAGGCCTATGTCGGGCTCACGCCAAAAATCGGGCTGGGTCGAGTCGGCCCACGGGCCAGAAAACTAGGCCTAGGCCCAAGCCCAGGTTCAAGGGTATTCGGGCTTTGGGCGGGCCAATGGGGCGAGCCTCGGGGCGGGCCCTTGGGCTTGGGCAGGCCTAAATAATTTTTTTTATTTTTTCTATCAAAATTTTATTATTTTTCATTAAAAATAACACTAGGCCTCGGGTGGGCCGAGCATCGGGCCGGGCTTTTGGGCGGGCCTTGAGCGGGCCCACAGGCCGGGTCATGTTGAACCGGGCTTCAAAATGATGGTCTAGGCCCAGGCCCAAGGCCTCGGGTTGGGCTTGGGCTTGGGCTCGAGCCCACCTCGGCCCGCCCGCGGGCCAAAATTACACCCCTACATATCACTGCAATTGATTTCATCATCGGCACTCTAATTCCTCCCTAATTTCTTTATCAAATTCTTCTAAAATTGAGTTGTGTCTTTAATGGAGGGTTGAAGTGATAGGTCTTCACTGTGTAGAACCAAAATAAGGGTCAATCATTGGTCTATAATTTTGAACATATGTGTGGAAAGATGGACAAAGCAGTGTGTGTACTTAGATATGAGTTAATGGTATGATTGAAATATTTGGTGTGGAATAAGAACAATAACTAATAATCAAATTACTAAACGTGTGTATTAAGAAATGATGTGTACAAAGGTAAGTAGGTGTGTGGAAATAGAATTTCTGAAAAGTTTTGTGGGCTTTTGCCCCAAAGCTAGACTTGAATTTTATCGCCAAAATTGTCTAGAAATATCAACATGTTATTTAAATTCATCCTACAAATGGACTCTATAATTTACTTATTCAATCTTTACCACACACTTCATTTCATGGCACAAATATAGGATCAATATTTGGATTTATGATTTTTTTTTTTTTTGGTTACATCAGAAAGAATGGATTTATGATTTATTAAAAGGAAAATAGTAACACTACAATGTTAGAAATTTTACTCAAAAAATTAGCCAAATATAAATGAAGTATAACGACAGGTAAAATTTGAAGCACCTCTAGTATTGCCCAATATATATATATATATATTGTTTTTCTCTCTTTTTTAAAATTATATCCAAATTTATGATACAAATATAATTGAAAAAGTGATCATGTGCACATCATCATGTATCACATAAATCGGACCTACCATATAATATCTCCAATGCCTACTTGAATAATGAATTCTCTGTAAACATTGTCATGACAATTCTATCCAGTCAAATGAAATTTTGGTTGGTTTGATTTTCAAAATCAATTTTTTTAAAGTTTTTAAAAAAATTAAAACTAACTAGGTGTAGAAAATAAAAAATGGTCATTTCTTATATAATTTTATCTTTCTTAGAAATTATTTTTAAAAAATTTAAAAATATCTTTTAGATGTTTATTTTTATCAAACTATTTTTTTTTAAATTCTGAAAATAGATTTCAAAACTGAAACCAAACAAAGCGGAGTTTCTAAATCATTATTTATGTTTCTTGAGAAATTCTCCATACA